CTAGAGGCAGCTGTGTCGAGCATGGTAAAGGAACCAATTCCCCATTTATAAAACATTGTTCCTATGGGAAAATTGGTTCCTAGTTTCAATGTTTCAGCTTAAAACATGGTTTTCAGGAACCAATTGCATCGTAAGTTTGAGGACTGCCTGCATCTTTTACTGGAGCAGCCATATAGTTGGGAGAAATGCTGGTCAATCTTTCAAGCACAAAATGCCCTTTTTCTGAAAGCTTATCTAATCTCTCTCCCAACTCTATAGTTGGTCCAGTAAGAGATACTGCAAACCCCCCTGTATATGTTAACAATACTGTCAGGATAAAAATATTTTGTTTTGTTTTCCATATTAAAGGAAACTCCTTTCATAATTAAAAACCAAAATAAAAATGGAAAAAAAACTTTCAAATTTATCTTCATGTCATTATTGATGCTGGAGAGTCACTTTGCAACCCCTTTAATTGTGATGGCTAGCTACTTTCTAGCCATCAGATTTCAGCACCATATTACAATCTGGTTTTGGCAAACATAGCAAAAGATGTTATGTTTTCCTTTTATGAAACAAGTTTCATAAGATATTTTATTAAATCAAGAGGAGGAGGAGCAATACCACATTTTCTTCTTTTTCTTCTTTAGTTTAATAAACAGAACAATTCTTTTCTGTGTTACTACGTGGTATATAATAGAACTGCAAGAGAAAGCAGTCCCCTTTCTACCTATACTAGTTCTTGTATTTTTAAAAACAAAACAAAACAAAACAAAACAGTGTCTCTCTTTATTCTGCTAGCTTAGACAGGGAGACCCATATCCTGTTTTGCTCATGCTCAGCTTATGCTCCTCCTTTGTCTCAACTGAATTTCTCGTATTAATTCAGCAGGGCACAACAAAACACTTGCAACTTGTGCTGAAATCCCTACTGTGTGCTTTTCACTCTGCATTCTCACTGAAACCACAGACTGAAGTCAATAAGGTCTTGCTGTCCAGTTGTAAGAAGCCCAAAACAACCACACCATATGCATACAAGAGTGAGTACAAAGGGCAGCTCAGTCTCCAGACCTGACTTAAATTTCAGTCATGATTTACTCCTGCCTGACTCATATTTTACACCATGATAGAACCAACTGATTTCAGTGGAGATACTCCTGATTTACATCGGTGTAAGTGAGAAGAAAATCAGGCACCAGTATCTATGAGATGGGCCCTCATATGTTAAAAAGTGACTCTGATCCCACCACATCGTTTCACATAATCTGCTAAACATGTTTTGGAGAGGGATGATTCTCAGTCTGCCAGCCCTAGGCCAACCTAAAAGCTGAAAGACTCACTAATCCATTACCAATCCCCTGGAGCCCTCCGGCCCGCACCTTTAACATAGTTTTGATCTCTGTAACACTTTAACTACTCTTGCGGTCTCTTCTCCTACTAGAAAATGGTCATGATTAAATGCGTCAATATTCATTTCCTGTTTCCTAGCCTAGAAACAAAGTATCAGTTATGTGGACACACAAAGTAATTCACACTGGTCATTCAAAATCTCAGCCCCACAGTTTCTACAGGTCACCATTGAAGAGGCTGTGCTCTAGCCTTAATTTTTTTTTTTTTTTTAAATAATTCTGATTTTCTAATTACTTTTCTAAAACAGGTAAATGAAAGACTTGTTCCTTTGATATTTACTGAGCTATTAACAGCCAGCTGTATGTTCAAATCTGTGTAAATATTTGACATTCAAAGTTACAATTAAAAAATATAGAACTAAGGCTGTAAGAAGACTTCAGAGCATACATTTACATTCGTTCTTTGCAACATTTTTCTCCATTTTTAAAACCCACCTGATTAATCTTCAAGATTTTATTGCCATGAGGGAATTAGAAAGATGGGAGAAATTTGAGAGAGGGAATCGGACAGGGATCTGAAGACAGGCCTAGAAGGCAGGACTCACTGAGATCTTACCCTCACTTTAAAAGCAAAGCCTCTCCATGGCCTTGAGCATGTCTTTTAACCCATCTGTCCTAATCTGCAAAATGGGAAAAATAAATGCTGGATAAAAATTTCAAAAACACCAATGGGTGGAAGAATCATGTGCAAAGATGCTGCATAGGAACTAAAATCCTCTGCAGCTGATTCATCAGATGTACAGTAGGGCTTGTCAAAACTTCTCCATCAATGCTGTTTTTCTTGGAATAAAAGTCTTTTTCTACCTAGCACTAATATACAGCAATAGCAACACAAACTGTCCAGTGAGCTATCCTCCCCACTTACCACAACGTTATCTTCACTCACCTTGTCACAAAAGACCTTGATCTGGCAGTAGGCTCGGTGGATGGGTTTATTGCTGCGATTATTGTAGCTGTAAGTGTCAATTTGAATCATCAAAGGAAGCCCCTTTACACCTTTTTGTGAAGAAAAATCTGTGCTCAGGCAATTCACTGTGATGAAAATCTGAAGCAGAGACAGAGATCAGAGATTACCTTTAAAAGGCTGTACATGTGATTATTCTTCACTGGAGACTCCTGAGACCATATAAAAATGTGGCAAAATTTAAAGCAAGAGCTATCTTTATTAAAAACAGAGAGAAAAAAATATAAAGAGAGAGTTATAAACATTTTGTTATTGAATTCAACTACCATCTCAATTTTGAAAAAACTCACAGAACTGTATCTTCACTTCAGATGCAACTATTTCTTTCCAAATTCAATTTTGGCCTGTCTGACATCTCGTAAGTGTTCAGCTATCAGTTTAAGTTCAATAAACAAACCAGAACTAAACTTTCCCATAGCTCTTTTTCCTTTCCACTGTCCTCCTTGTTTTTCACTCCCCTGAGTTATATCTTTGACTTCTCTAGGCCTTCATATGCTGGTTGTATCTTCAGCTTGCCAAATCATTCTGCATAACATCTCCAAGATCTGACCTCCCCTACTCATCCACACTACTAATACTGGCTTAGGCTCTCATCATCTTCCATTTCCATTTGACAACATCCTTTTTTCTGCTTTTGACACATCATATTTTGCCATGTGTAACAGGGGGCAATGCTCCCAGGGCCCAGTCATAGTACCAGCCCACCCACCTGTCTAGGGCAATCTGCCAGTCTCATCTGCCACGCCTTGTTGTTAAAATACTGGTTGTAACAACGTGGGAGGCTGCCCATTTAGGACCCCAATGCATAGATGTATACACACAACTCTGACCTTCCCTTATCATGTCCCATGCCTCACAGATGGCATCCTTGAATTGTTCTTTACTCCAGCTTGTGGCTGGGTCAAACTCAGCTCCTTGCTAGGTCTCATGCATTCATCCTTTCACTCCACCCCATCAGGCCTCATTCATACCGCCCTGTCTTGCTGGGGCCTCTTCCACTCTCCCTTCTCTCACCAGACCTCTTACGTGCTGCCCCTCACTGAGCCACACCCAACCTGCCCTGCTCCCTTAAGTGACTGCGTAGGCCATCAGGCTTGCCTACTTGCACTCCTTGGCTTACTGGCACGCAGCCTCTTGGGCCCGCTCACGACCTTCACCTGAACGATGACCAGCCAATTTGCCTTGCCCTGGGCAGAACTCTGACCCGAGCCCCTCTCTGGATAACTCATCATTCTCGTCCCCTCATTAGGGCCAACTACTCGCCCCTTCCATCCACAACTCACGCTGAGCTGCATCACTCAGTCTTGGGCCCAACTACAGCCTCAGGCATCCAAAGATCAACCTTAGTCTCACTGCCCCCTTCCGGAGTTTACACTCGTGCCCTCACCCTAGGGCCTGCCTCTCACCGCCCCTTCTCTGGGGCCTTACTACTACTACTGCTGCTGGCTCAGGCCTGAGCTAAAATGAAGGTTGCTCAGCCCTCTCCTCCAATCACGTGGCCTGGCTTCCAGCCATGTAACTTTCTCATTAAGGCTGGCCCACACCTGCCAGTTGCCCTGCTGTCTGATTTTGCCCTTAAAGTGGCAGACACCTAAAGGTGCTCTGCCACACACCTTCCCCCTTAAAATGGCTGCCATTGGGGGTCTCTCCC